AAACTTGACTGCCCCCTGGTGTCCACTGATCACAATTGCAGGCAAAGTTGTCGGTTTACAGCAGCAAGACAAGAGAGTGGATGCAGTTTGTGGTGTGAAAAGTGGGCTGGCACAAAAGAGAGGGTGAGGAAACAGGAGCTGCTGCATGGGTGCTGCTATAGGCAAGAGCTTCCAGCTCTGCTTCCCTGGGAGCCTCATAAACAAAGCCCCCAAAGAACTTGGTGAAAGAGAGGAGTGTCCCATCAAAGCTGGAGTAGCCACAGGTGAAAACAAGACCAAGGAACACCTAAGAACATTCACAGAGGGCCTGAGGCAGCTGCTCAGTAGAAGTCCCCTCCAGGATGTCAGCCAATGGCCGACTAAGGAACTCAACTCCAGGGTTCTTAATTTCAATTCATGTATATTGAAACAGTCCTATGTGCCGAGTGGCTATCATATTAGACAAAATAGGGTTGGAGGAATAAAGAAGGGTGTATATTTCACCACGTTATCTAAGGGTTTTTTTTTGTTCGTTTTATTCAATACAGGGTCTCTATGTATCTCTGGGACTTGCTATGTAGACCAGGGTAGGGTTGGACTCACAGAGATCTACCTACTTCTGCATCCCAAGCAGTAGGATTAAAGTTGTGTGCTACCAAGACCAGCAACACATCATTTAGCTTTAATGAGTAATACAGGTAAAAACCACTGCAAAACTAAGCATCTTGGGTTAAATAGTTCTTGAGATTTTATTCATTTTTAATTTATATTTATGAGTATCTGAATGTATGTTTGTGTACCATGCCTGTGTCGTGCCTGCAGAGCCTGCAGAGCCTGCAGAGCCAGAAAAAGACGTCAGATCTCCTGGGAGTTATAGATGGTTGTGAGATGCTACATGGGTGCTGGGAAGTGAACCTGGGTCCTCTGGAAGAGCAGCCAGTGCTCTGAATAGCTGAGCCATCTCTCCTTCCCCTCTGGTTATCTTCTAATGTAGAAATGAGAGGAAGAAGGCTCATCCTCTTGGCTCAAGACACTAGTAACCTAGGGGCAGAAGAGAAGGCTCAACAGTTAAGTAGCACGTACTGTTCTTGCAGTGGATCTGAGTCCAGTTCCCAGTACTCACAGATGGCTCACAGCATCCTGGGACTCCAGCTCCAGGGGAACCTTACAGCTCCAGCCTTCCTGGGCAATAGCATTCATGTGCAAGTACCTACATACAGACACAATTTAAAATAAAAAAATGTTTTTAAGTAAAGAAGTTAATAACCTAATACAGAACATGGGGTTCTGTAGAAAGGCACACATAAGCACGCGTGAGTGCAAATGTCCATGTCCCCCTCCCCAAAAACCACCTGTAGAATCTCTAATTCAAAGAGAACCACTCTTATCTGCAGCTTCTCTCTTCAAAGGCTAACTTTAGTAAAAGGTTTGGTACAACACTGTCTTCCTTCCTTCCTTCCTTCCTTCCTTCCTTCCTTCCTTCCTTCCTTCCTCCCTCCCTCCCTCCCTCCCTCCCTCCCTCCCTTCCTTCCTTCCTTCCTTCCTTCCTTCTTTCCTTTCTCCTCCCCCCTTTTTTTTCTTGACAAGGTTTCTCCTTGTAGCCCTGGCTGTCCTGGAACTCACTTTGTAGACCAGCTTAACTTTGAACTCAGGGATCTGCCTGCCTCTGTGTTCTGAGTGCTGGGATCAAAGACATGCATTTTTTCAAGTTAAGAAATGAGGTTTGCCGGGCGGTGGTGGCGCATGCCTTTAATTCCAGCACTTGGGAGGCAGAGGCAGGCGGATTTCTGAGTTCGAGGCCAGCCTGGTCTACCGAGTGAGTTCCAGGACAGCCAGGGCTCCACAGAAAAACCCTGTCTCGAAAAACCAAAAAAAAAAAAAAAAGAAATGAGGTAAAAGAAAAATTGGCTTAGCAAGCTAAGGACAGACAGGCAGAATGGACCCTCGTGGAGGAGCCAGGTTTCAAAGGCAGTGAGCTGGCAGGGGCTGCGTGGTTGCAGAACTTTTGCTCTGTTTGTTCTCACTGTGGCCCCTTGAGCGTAAGGATGGGATCTTCTGGACAAACGAATTTCAAGAGTATTGTTTTTGAAAAAGGAAATCACCAATTCTAATCTTTAAAAGACTTGGGACTGTCTTCCTCCTGTGAGAAATCATTTAGCCAACAAAGTCACCAGGACACAGATAGAGAATGCATCACTTCCTGGGAACAGAAGTTGAAGCCTTCGAGAAAATGGTTTGGACAGGGGGTAAACTGCCCTGGGAAGAAAGTACCCAAGGGCTGAAGTTTTTGTTTTAGTTTTTCTAGTTTTAGGATAAAAAAATAATAGCACTAACAGGAAATTATGTTTTCATAATGATATAGTTTAGAAATTCAAGACTTTTTTTCATTTCTTTATTGTGTGTGTGTATGTGTGAGCGCGCACTCATGCAGAGGTCAGAGGTCAAGTTAAATGTATTTATTCATGTGTTTTGTGTGTATGAGTGTGTATATTCATGCACACTAGAAGAGAAAATGAGCCTCCATTAGAGATGGTCGTGAGCTCCTACGCATTTGCTGGGAATTGAACTCAGGACCTCTGGAAGAGCAGTCAAGTGCAAGTGCTCTTAACCACTGAGCCACCTCTCCATCCTGAGAGGGCAACTTTCAACAGTTGGTTCTTTCTTTTTACTATGTGTGTTCTGGGATCAAACTCAGGTTGTCATAAGCTCAGCAGCAAAAGCCTAGACCCACTGAGCCATCCCACTGGACTGAGCTTACAAAGACTTCCATACTTCATGAAGATAAAAACATCCTCCACGGGCTTTAATTTTTTTTTAGGGAAGATGCTCACAGCTCAATATTATTGTTATTTTAAAATTTTTATTTGTATGGATGATTTGCCTACACGTATATCTGTGTACTATGAGTGTGCAGGGCCCTTGAGGCCAGAAGAGGGTGCTGTATCCCTTGGGACTTAAAATAGACACTAGTAATAGACACTTATAAGCTGTTTAATGCATGCTGGGAACTGAATCTGGGTCCTATGGAAGAGATACTCTTTTTTGTTGTTGTTGTTGTTTTGTTTTTCGAGACAGGGTTTCTCTGTGGAGCCCTGGCTGTCCTGGAACTCACTCTGTAGACCAGGCTAGCCTCGAACTCAGAAATCCGCCTGCCTCTGCCTCCCAAGTGCTGGAATTAAAGGCATGCACCACCACTGCCCGGCCGGAAGAGATGCTCTTAACCACTGAGCCATAATGTGGTCGAAATATCTTTTATTCTTCCATTGATAGCTCTGTAGCATCCAGGGAGTCATGGAAAGATGGACAAAAGAACTCTAGAGGGAGAGAGGACCGGCTCCCCGGTCACATAACCTGGCAGAAGAATTGGCAGTCCCACTGTGGCACAAACTCATGTTGTACACACCTCTACACAAACACACACAAACATACACACACACATACACGAACACACACACACAGCTCTTCTCTTCAAGGTTAATGTTCTAAGATGTTATGTTTGCATCATAGGAAAAATACAGGAATAAGCTGTTTTAACCTCATCCATGTTTTCTACTCTGGATGGGACTTCAGGCAGCGACCTATCCAAAGGTGCACGTTTAAAATCATCTGGGGAACGTATTAAGAATAGAGACCCACAGGCCTGCTCTGCTGCCTGAGGTTCTGACTCTGAAGTACTAAAACCCCAAACTCAAAGCCTCCAAGGTGGTTCAAGCATGAAAGCCAGATTTGGACCCACTGGTAAGTCAGCCTCTGATATTGCAGGGTGCTATCTATGGTTGCTATGGAAACCATGCTGCAGACCTGGGCCTGACTGAATTTTGGGGTTTTATTATTTTTTTTTTAAGCACATACTGTTTCAAAAACTCGAGGACATTATTTTTGGAGGAGAAGATGTATTCTGTCTTCCTAGACATTTATATTTAGTAAGGAAAAGCAAGGCTCCCACAAAGCAGAGACATTTTCTCATTTAAAAGCATTAGACAGAAAGTGAAAGTCCTTTCCCACATAAGCCTAAAGGAACTGACAAGAAACTATTTCCTGAGAGAAGCTCCAGACCATCTGGAGCATCCTCCGGTTTTTAAGCTGAGGTGAGACGCCTTGCTGGAGGAGTCTTGGGCTCATGAGCCTTCTTGGTAGTGGAGCAAGGGGTTGAGTAGCTGGGATAGTCTCGAGGCTCCGGAGGCCCCGGCTTGAGGCCGACCTGGAAGAGGGTGGGCCTCTGGAAGCTACTGATGCCTCAGGGCTGAGGAGCTGGGTGTCCTGACAAACAGCACACCGACTCTGACTGCTGGGAGACTAAGTGGTGGCCTCTCGCATAAGCCCTTGGCAGAGAAGACGCAGTAGAGAGAGGGACCAAGAGACAGATTCTGTCACTCTGCGCTACAGAGTTGGCTCAATGACTTTAGGGCTTGGCAGACTGTTCTCTTTTCTTTCCTTTAAAAATTCCAACCCAAGAGGCTTGCGTCATGAATGGAAGGTTCCTGGGATTTACTGCTGTTTGTAAACCCTGATAGATTTCAGGTTCCCAGGCAGAGTTTCCCTTCCAAAGATGCTCTCTGGGATCCATCAGAGTCCTTGTTACACCCAGGGGGCCTGTGGCTACTGACATCCCACAGCTCTCTGCAACGGAAGAGGCTGTGACTTGACTTACCCAGAATCCTTCCTTCTGTTTCTCCTCCCTTCTCCCCCCAGCCTCTAGCACTCCTCCACTTCAGACAAAAGGGACTTTTTTTTAAAAAAAAGGAAAAAAAATGTTATTGTTTGAGATAGGTTCTCACAGGCTCTGGGAAAGTCCTGCTATCACACACATCATGTATGTGTGTATGTACATTTGCATATGTGTGAAGGAGATGAGGATGGTCTGGAGGCAAAAGTCACCATCTTTCCTCATCGTACCTTTAAAGGGACTTTCAAAAATAAATATAAAGAGTTGCCAGTTGGCCTTTATCCTGTCCTGTGCAACCTACACAGGTGACAGCCAGAGGCAGCTTGTGGGATTGAGATGTCCAGAGGTACCGTACCTTGGAGGCAGCCATCACAGCTGCTGTGGCTGCCACATTCAGTCCCCGCTTCCCAAAGTGCACAAGGGCGTCATAACTTCGATCTTTTGCTTGGACCAGGCAGTCATCAATTTCCTGTCAGAGAAGAAGCAGAGGCACACTGAGCTGGCAAGTTCAAATACATCTCTTCTCCTCCTCTCTTCCCAAGTGCTGGGTTTGGCAGCTTGCCTGACGGCTGACTCACTAGCCTGAACCATCATAGACATTTTGAATGCATGTTTGTAGATAGGAGGGTGGAGAAAGATGGGTTAGATACTGCCAAGTGCAAAGGGGAATTCTGAATAAGTAAGCACACAATAACTCACTGACCTAAGGCCTGGGTTATCTCTAAAGTTCCTCTAAGTCCTAAGGATGCAGACAATCCTGCCTTTCCCCGAGAAGCTGCTCTACAAGACAGGCAGCATCCAGCATGATGGAATACCATGAACACAGCTTCAAACTCAGACCTCAGCTAATTGGTGACAAAACTTGGAGGTTTATTTGTTTGGGTTTGTTCTATTTTATTTTTAAGATTTATTTTATGTGTTTTGCCTGCATGTATGTGCATGTGGTGCCTGTGGGTGTCAAAGAGGGTGACAGACTCCCTGAAACTAAGTTACAGATGGTTGTGAACCACTCCTGAGTGCTAGAAATAGAACCCAGGTCCTCTGGAAGAGCAGCCAGTGCTCTTAACTGCTGAGCCATCTTATGGGCTGTCCTGATGCTGTATTCTGATGTTAATTCTGCAGGTTATCTCCTGTGAACCTTTTCCCCTTTTAAATGGTGAGATGGGAGGTCTTTGAGAGTAGGTGCAGGTAGAGAAGGGAAGGAGAGAGGGCAGAGGAAGAAGAGGAAGAGGAAGCCATGATAGAGCAGAACCACATGACCAAGAGAAACCACAAGTTGCAAGGGATCTTATAGCTGGGGAATAAGTGAGTGAAATGTTAGACCTGTCCAATCTAGGTTTATAGCTTATATTTATAATAACTGGATTGCATGTGTTTTATACAGGCTTATTCGGGTTGGAAATTCCAGCAATACATCTCTCCAGAACCTCTTAACAGGTTTCTCTTCTAGAAACAGGCAGCAATGATAGCACTTCACTTGTGGTGCATGACAAGGGTTATAAGGCAAGCACCTTGTACCACATGAGAGCCTTCATCATCTTCAAAACGGGTGATGGGAACCTTGCAATCAATCCTCTCATTCTGTTAGCCTGAGATACCGCCCCCGTGTGTGCAGTGATAGGAGGAATCAGGCACAGAAAGAAACAGGCATTATTTTGGTGGAGAAGGGACATAATTTTAACAGATGCTGAAATAAAATAAAGTCTTCCAGTGTTGCACAGCAAGGGAAAAGCAAGGTGGAAAACAGCACCAAGGTCTCCTGACCAAAGCCAAGTGCAATATTGCCAATTTAGCTTGGTTCTGGATCACTCTACTGAATTCTGTTTATTTATTTTGCACCTTTCATTGTTCTGAGAAAGTGTGTATATGGTAGCCACAGTGCTTCATTTTAAGTTCAGTAAGATATGTGGCCTTAATCTTGTTTGAAGCTCTGTTCCATAGTGAGTTTCCTTTGCTTTGAGGTCGGGGGTGAGGGTGGGGGTCGGGGTTCGGTCTTAGGCAGCCCCAGCTGCTATCCCTCTTCACAGCCTCCCCAGGAGGGCCCAGGCTCTGTGATCCAGCAGACTAAGGAGTGATTCTTGGCAGGTCTTAAGAGACACCACTTTCCCTCCAATGGACAGGATACCTCTTCAAGGAAGACAGCATTTGGGGAGAAGGAGCCAAGAGAGGGATTTGGCAAGAAAGTGAAGAGGTATCTAGAGCTCTAACCCCACCTTTCTGAGATGGGAGGGGCTGTGGGCTTGCTTCCAAAGGGGCTGTTCAGGGCTGGCCACAGCTGTCCAATTGCTCTCCTCCCCAGAGCCTTCCCATACAGGAAGGAAGTCCAAAGCATTGAACTTCAGAAAGGGCAGTTGTTAGAGTACCAGCAGGAGCTAACTACAGGACTCTGTGTTTGTTCATTTCTCAGTGCTGTGAGAGACTCCTGACAAACTCCAGGAAAATGGGTCCCCTCCCACTTGGTGGTTTGAGATGCTATGGTATGGTCCACCATGGTGGGCAAGATAAGGCGGTGGGATCTGCTCAGAGTCACAGTGGCAGGGACGTGCGGCTGCTGTTTCTTGTACGGCACAGCCAGGAAACAGAGGTCTCAGTGTACTAGGACCAGAGGCAGATATGGACTGAATTCCTGCCCCACAACCCACATTTGCCCCTTAGGCCCCATGTCCGAAAGATTTCACCACCTCCCAGCACAGCACGGCCAGCTCTTCAAACCCAAGAAACTGTGTGCCGGGTGAAATTCAAAACGTAACAGGTACCTATTTTATTATAAAGAATTCTACTACACAATTAGGTTAGAAAATAATGTAATTAATGAATTATACACTGTTAGAATCATTTAGCCCAGTGATCCCACTCTTGGGAATTCATTAAGATAAAAGAAGGATCTGAATGAACCCTATGTGTGGTAGTGCTCAGTGCAGAATTACTTATTATAAGAGGAACATTGGAATAAGCTCAATATTTAGTAGAAAGAAACAGTTCTGTCAGTATGGGTCATTAGACCACGCAGATGTTGATTACAGGCACTGTTTATGATCTCAAAATACAAATAACTTTTTGCTAGGAGGTTTGTTCCTATTCATTTATGTAGTATGTGTGCTGTATGCATGTGTCTGTAGGGCGTGTGTGCACTCATGCGTGCACACTGGGCGTCTCCCTCTATTGCTCTCTACTGAAATAAATATTTTAAATTTACAGTTATTTAGTGGTGTGTGTGTGTGTGTGTGTGTGTGTGTGTGTGTATGGGGGTGAGTACATGAATAACACCTGCAAGAGTTGGTTCTCTTTCTCTCCCACCTGGGTTCTGGGACTCAAACTCAGATTGTCAAGTTTGGTGGCTAGCATATGTATCCTATGCAGGTTTTAACTGGCCTTCTACCTTAGCTTTTGAGACAAGTTTCTCATTGAACCCAGAGCTCACCACTTTGGCTAGATTAGCTGACACTGAGCGCCTGGCATCTGTTTGTGTGTCCCACCCCTCCCCACTCTCCAGCTCGCCTGTCTCCATGCTGCTGGGGCTATGAACACAGGTCTTTATGCTTGCACAACACTGAGCCATCTTCTTGAATGCAAATATTTTATTTATATTAAGAATGCATTTCGGCTGGGCAGTGGTGGCACACACCTTTAATCCCAGGACTTGGGAGGCAGAGGCAGGCAGATTTCTGAGTTCGAGGCCAGCCTGGTCTACAGAGTGAGTTCCAGGACAGCCAGGGCTATACAGAGAAACCCTGTGTTGAAAAAAACAAAAAAAAATGCATTTATTTACTTAGAGACAGGATTTCAAGTAACTTAGGCTGACCTAGAAGACACTATGTAGCTTAGGATGACCTTTGAACTTCTGCCTCCACCTTTAAGTGCTGGGATTGTGCCACCGTGCCTGGTTTTAAACAGTATTGGATGTCAAACCCTGGGCTTTGCGAATGCTAGGCAAGCATTCCACTAGCGGAGCTACCTTACCAGCCCTCTACGTTAAGTTTTTGTTTACCTGTCTCTGAGATGGGCTCTTCTTTTGTTTATTCTATATATCTGAGTGCTCTGTCTCATACCAGAAGAAGGAATCAGACCCCATTACAGATGACTGTGAGCCACCATGTGGTTGCTGAGAATTGAACTCAGGACCTCTGGAAGGACAGCCAGTGTTCTTAACCACTGAGCCATCTCTTAAGCCCAAGACCAACTCGTCTTATGCTGGCTGCACTAGTCTTGAAGTCCTTAGCTCTGTAAATTTTCCTCTCTTGTTCTTACAATGGTCTGGGACTGCATGAGTGTGTACCACTGTTCTCAGCTTAAATTTGACAACTATTGAAAAAAGAATCTGTGTAAAGTGGTAAACAGTACATGTAGAGATTGTATCTGCAGAATGACAGGGGCTAAGTGTGATTTTTAAAAAAAGATTGTTTTGATAGTTAATGTATGTTTTGAGACAAGGACCTGAATGATCCCGGATGGCCTAAGACTCAGTATTTAGACCATTCTTGTTGGCCTTTGACTTGTGTCAGGGAATCCATCTGCTTCCCCTTTCGAGTGTTGGAACTAGAGGTTTGTAATCTTTGGGGAGTTAAATTATTAATCTTTTTCTCTTTTTTCAGCTTGTAAAAAATTTTTATCAATAATGACAAATAGCATTTTTATATAATTTCATATTTTTTTTTTGAGACAGGGTCTTGTTTTGTGGCTCAAACCTGTAATCTTCTTCTTGCCTTAGCTTCTTGAGAGACAGGATTATGGGTGTGAGCCACTTTGCCCAGCCACTATATCTAAACATATGAAAGTATACACATTGTTTCCCCTGAGACAGTTCTGGCTGTCCCAGAACTCACTCTGTAGACCAGGCTGGCCTTGAACTCAGAGATCTGCCTGGCTCTATCTCCCGAGTGCTGAGATTAAAGGTGTGCACCACCGTTGCCTGGCTAAATATACACTTTAAAAAAGCCCCCGAAGAGATTACTTTTATGTTTCTTTGTCGACAATATTGTCATCGATGTATTAAGAATTCAATCTGTGGGCTGGGGACATAGAACATTTGCCTAGCACTCATGAGTCCCTGGGCTCAATCTTTAGCACCACAATAAGGAAGAAACATTACTAACTTTGTGTGTGTGTGTGTGTGTGTGTATTCATGTGTTTTTGCATGTGAGTGTGCATGTGCATGACATGAATGTGGAAGCCAGCCAGGCGGTGGTGGCGCATACCTTTAATCCCAGCACTTGGGAGGCAGAGGCAGGCAGATTTCTGAGTTTGAGAGTTTGAGGTTAGCCTGGTCTACAGAGTGAGTTCCAGGACAGCCAGGGCTACACAGAGAAACCTTGTCTCGAAAAACCAAACCAAAAAAAAAAAAAAAAAAAAAAAAAAAAAATGTGAAACCCATATCTATTTTTCTCCCCATTTTTTTTTTTTATAGGTCAGAGTCTTTACTGAACTTGGAACTCACTGATGAGGCTTGACTACCCATACAGGAAGTTCCAGGGGGCTGCCTGTCTCCGTCCCTCCCCTACCCACCATCTCTGGGGTTACAGGCACTCACTGCCAAGCCTGTTTGTCCATGTGGGTGTTCAGGGTCAGAACTCAGGCCCTCACACCCACAGCAGACACTTTACTGATGGAGCTATCTCTCCAGCCTCAACGTTACTGATTTTATACCCTTTATAAGGTATAAAATATTTTATTCTTTTAATCTTCTGACGACGGAATTCATCTGTCAGTTTTAATAGTATTTTTGTAGAACCCTTAGGTTTTTTTCCACATTTAAATTCAGATCATATGTAATAAGGAGTGATACTTGTATGAGTGACTGTTATTTATCTTACCTGACTGCTATAGAGAGACTTCCTAATACTATGTTGAGTAAGTAGTGAAGGCAGACACGCTTGGTCTTATCTGAGACATAAAGGCAATGCTGAGAGCTTCTTCCAGTTGGCAGTGGCTTGTCACACATGGTTTTTATCATGTTGATGTATATTCCTTGAATGAGAATTCTTTAAAAAAAATTTTATGTTTAGATTTATTTATTTTCTTTTCATGTGTCTGAATGTTTTGCCTGCATGTATGTATAAACACTATGTATATGTGTGTGGTGCATGCAGAGGTCAGAAAAGGATGTAGGATTCCCTGAAGATGGAATTACAGATGATTATAAGCTACTGCTTGAGTGACGGGAAGAACCCGGGTCCTCTGCAAGAGCAAGCAGTGCTCTTTACTGCTGAGCCGTCTCAGATGCTCTTTCCTGCATGTATTGAGAAAACTATGCAGATGTTGAACCAATCTGATATTGCTGAACTATTCATGATACTAAGATATGGAATTAATCCAGATGCTCATCAGTGGATGAATTCAGGAATATGGTATATATGCATAATGGAAAATTACTCATTTGACTCAAAATAAGGAAGAATGATAACCTTTTCTAAGCAAAATGGACCGAAATGGAGCACACTGGGTAGTGTGAAATAAGTACAAATACCATGTTTCTTTCCTATGTGGGTATTAAAATAGTCTAGACACAGAGTTCAAGAGGAGGGGGAGCAGGGACACAGGAAGTCAGGCAGTGCTACAGACAGAAGCAATGAGCACTAGTGTTCTCAAGCACTGCAGGGTGACAGGAGCTGACAGAGGTGGGGAGAGAGGGAGAGGAAGAGGGAGAGGGAGGGGGAAGACTTGGAAGTTTCCAAAGACAAAATAATAAGGAGCGAGACCTGCTAATTGCCTAGACTTGATCAGCACACATTGTACAAATGCTGAAATATCGCACTGTACCTCATAAATATGTATAAGTACTGTGTACTAATAGTTTTTAATCAGCACAAGTTATATGCATGAATGAAATCATTCTGTACTCCATGCATACATACAATCAGAATAATGAAAGTGAAGTGTGAAAACAAACAGAAGCTTACAGGAATAACGCTGGCGGTGTGTAGAGACAGGGTCTCGCTGTTTAGCCCTGTCTGAACTGGAACTCACAGAGATCCACCTGCCTCTGCCTCCTGAGTGCTGGAACTGAAGGCATATATCACTATGCCCGGGGAGTTTTTTTAAAAGGCACTGGAGCTGAGTGCAGTGGTGCAAGCCTTAACCCAAGCACATGGGAGGCTGAGGCAGGAGGATTGAGATGAGTTGGAAGCCAACCTGGGCTATTCAGGGACAGCCTGGCTACAGAACAAGGAGAGAGAGAGAGAGAGAGAGAGAGAGAGAGAGAGAGAGAGAGAGAGAGAGA